TGGAAATGAAGCAGCCAAGACACAAACCAGTGCCCACACAGGATGCTGGCATTGCAGGCAGAGGCTGAGCCTGCTGTGCCATGCCGGTCTCCTGAAAGGGTTTTAGGCACTGACTGTACATTCAGCCTATCCAGGATATCCATGGTATCCTCCTTGGGATTATAAAGGACAAACACCCAAGCCTGCTTCCTGCTCTCTCATGTTTACACCAGGAGTGGATTGGTGAGTTCCACTGGATAAAGGGCCTGAGAGTGAGGGTCTCTGGGAAACATTCCCAGTATGGGATGGAAGGGGCTCGTCCACAGCAGCCTGAGGAAAGGCCAGCAACATTAAGAAGGCTGCAGGGTCTCAGGGACTCTGAAAGTCAGGCTGTGTCTGCCCTCACTGACGCAGCTCACTGGCCTCTGGGAGTCTCTCCCTCAGCTACTGCCTGAATGTGGCAGGCAGAAGGATGGCCTTCCTCACACACTTGTCTCCCAGGCCCTGGAGCCTGTGAACATGCTATTTACTGCACATATGTACATATGACCAAGTGGAGACCCTGTAGATGGGAAATCATGCTGTTTGATCCTCGTCAACCTGCCAGCCAATCACATCCCTGCCAGTCTTGAGAAGAGACTGGATGAGAACAGAGGGTAGGAGAGGTGCAAGGTGAGGAGGACTCCCACAACATTTGTTGGCTCTGACAGTGGAGAAGATTTCTAGGTTGCTAAGGAAGGGGAGCTGCGTGCTATGGGAAGCTCTCGGGAGGCTGAGGCCCTGACTGCTGGGTGGTGGGGATCAGGGGGAGGAGACCATGGGGAAGGCTGATTGGAGATGCCTCCCCTGTTGCTGCAAAACTTTGTCCTGGATATGCCAGATTTCCACACCCTGGTGGGGGAGACTGCCCACTGCCTTTCCTGCTTCCGGCCATGCACTGCTGCAGCCTAAGTGATATAGATCAGCTATGACAGTGACAGGACCAACCACAAACTCTGTAAAATTGCCAGTTCAGGTGAGGCTCTTGGAAAGCTGAGAACCTCCGGCCTGTTTAATGTTATTGCCTGTTTGAAGGCATGCTGACCTTGGTAACTTTTGCTTTGTCTTGAGAAGTTACTGCTTTTTAGTTAACAGATTGCTACCAGTGACCACCCTGCTCTTGTGCATGTAGCATGATTTTTATCCTGCTCTTATGCATGTAGCATGATTTTTTATATTCATTTTTACTATAAAGACCCTGTTTTCCTTCCCCTCGGTGTGCTATCCTTTGAGATAGTTGCTACCCTGCTTTATAATAAATCCATTTCTCTTGGAAGATTGAAGACTTTGTGTTCTGATTTGCAACAGTAAGCACCACAGTCCCCTCCCTAAGCTGGCCTACCTGCTTGTATGTGTCTCCAGGACACAAGGTGGGGATGGCAAGCTCCAGAACTAAATGGGGCTGCCCCTTCCTTTACCCAGCAGATGGAACTCAGCACCTGTGCTCAATTCACTGAAATCACCCAGCACCTGGAGTGGATCCTGGATCCATTGTATAAAATACCACCCCTCCCCCAAGGAGTCCAGTGATGTCCACTTAGGGTGAGCAGGAGGGACCTTGACCCCAGGGAATCCCTTTGCCTCTCCCTTCCTGGGAACTCCCGAGCACAACATGGGGGCAGTAGGCTTTTGCTGTAGTGACAACATGGATAAAGCAGGATTCTGCCCCAGAGAGGATTCGGCATCCCAAGGGGCCTGAGGCTTGGGCTAGGGTTGTGGAGCAGAGCTGGCCTGGGAATTCCTGCATGTGCTTCGGTCCTAGGTTGCCATACTGGCATGGTGTGCTGGAGCGCTGGGCTTGAGTCCCAGCTGGGCAGGGGGTAGTGTCCCAGGCCAGCATGTGTGCTGAAAGACGAGCTCTGGGCTCCAGACCAGCGTACCACCCTGAGAGATCAGGCTATGGAATCCTGTGCTCACATATGCAGGGGCTGTGGACTGATCAGGGAGATGGGAGATAAGATGGGATGTGTGGGAGGGGAACCACTGAGGGAATACCTTACAGGTGAAGAATGACTTCTTGTGACTTCTGCCAACTAGGCCAGTGTACTTGCAGGTAAGTGAGGGAGCTGAGGCCACGCAGTTTGCTGGAGGGAAGCTGGAGTATCTTTAAGGATCAGATCAATGTACTGACCGAAGTGGAAGACCTCAGCTGGGCTAATTAGTATTACCACTAGCACACACTAAATTTAGGGCTTGAGGCCTACCTGACAGGGCTAGATCACAGTACCCACCAGTGAGTGTCAGATCAGGGGATGGGTGACATTAAGCTTGGCCATGACACTAACCAGCACACAAGAGAACTAGGTCTGGGGCAGATTTTTTGGGAGATATGTGGGCTCACCCCTGTTCAGGGCAGCAGAATTGGCCCACCATACCAGCCAATTGATATTAAGACCAAGACTGGGGACTGGCTGGGTTGGGCTAAGTTGCAACACCCACCAGCATGAGCTGAAACCAGGGCCAGGCTGGGTCAAGCCAGGTTACAGCACCTGCCAGCAGATGCTGAGGTAGGCTATGCCATGCCAGACTGGGCTGTAGCACAAACAAGCACACATGAGACCTAGATCAGGGGCAAATCCATTAGGAGGGCAGCAAGAACTGCTGTGCAGGACCACTGCTTCTGCTGGTGAGCATGAGAATTGGGACAAGGAGCCACTGTCCAGGCTAGGTGGGGCCACAATACCCGTTGGCCTTCATGTGAACTGCATTAGAGAGAGAGCCAGACTGGACTGACTGTATCCATTGGTGCATGCATGCATGAGCCACAGTAAGTGCAGGGTTAGTTAAAGCTTTTGTGCGACAACTGGGTTTGGGAGTTTAAGTGAGTATTCTTAAATGGAATGTGTCATCCTGGAAGTGTGGATGATGGCCTGAAAATGTGGATGTAGATTAATAAAAATCACTTCTCCATTAAGCATCTTCTCATCTGTTTCATTAATCCTGACAGAAAGCAGCTGAGTGCATTTAGTTCTTGAGCAGGCAGGAGTCAGGGAGGGGGAAGAGCTAGGAGAAGGGTTCATACAAACAATACATTCTAAAGTTAGAGTCTGAGAGCAGAAGGCATGAGGGGTTAGAGGACTGGAGGTAGGACCCTTTCACTGAGCTCCAGCCCTGCTAACCTCCTGGAAGAAATGGGGTTCCCCAGGGAACCCTGACCAGGGCTGAGAACATGTTTCATGAACTCCTCCATCTACAGAGGTAGTACTAAATGGAGTCACTCTGCCATGCTTCCCAGGCCAGACCCCCAGCTCTCCCAAAGCTGGTCAGAGCTCTTCTTGTCCCTGTCACCAGAATCACCCCCAACCCTGGGAGACCATCTGACACTAGTTAACCCTTTCTCACCATGGGAAGACCTCAAGGGTAGCAAGATCAAGCTCCTGGACATATCCAGCAGGTCTGTGGCCAACCTGACCCTCTTACCTCCATCGCCAGTGCCCTCTGCCCAGCTGTCCTGGGTGACCACCCTAGACAACCTGGTCCAGCCAGGTACCCCCGCAAATGGCTGTAGCTTGCTGCCCTTGCCCTCTGCTCTCTCTTGGCATGTGTGCACTGCCAGGCACCAGCCAATTCTCCCACCATAGCTTCCTTGGCCAAGGAGAACATGAAGTGTGAGGGCAGTAGCCTCAAAACAGAACCTTCAGGCCCGGCCCCCAGGATGCCCCTGGCCACGGCCACATACAACTTCATCTGCACTTGCTCTTCTGCCTCCCAGCGCTGGGCCCCAGGTCAGGACCTCCCATGAACGAAAACCCTCCAGCTGTGTTGGTAAACTCCACACAGGCCTGGGATGAGCAGTACAGGGTACAGGTATCAACACAGCCTGCCCCAGAGAGCGACACTGGAGTGGACAGAACCTTTGCTGCCACATGCTGCTCCCCCAGGGCCTAAGGACAGGCTGCCCTGTCCTGCATCCTGCCTCGGCTGTTCAGCTTCAGCCTCCCTTCCATGTGCCCATATTCCATGCAGGATGTTGCCCAACACCACAACCTCAATTAGGAAGCAGGCAGTCTTCTCTGCCACTGAGGGCAAAATGCCAAGCCACCCATTCCCAGCTTGCAGTTGCCAGAGGCACGATGCCAGCCTTAGGGCCTCAGGATTCTTAGGTCTTCACCTTCGGCCTTCAGGACACACCTGTGAGCAAAGAGTGCCATCCCGGCTGGGCTGACTGGCTCCTCTCCCCGTGCAGTGGAGCCTCCGCATGGACTCAAGGAACAGAGCATGTGGCCAACCCAACCCCTACACTTCCTCTCCCACAGGGCTCAACCAACTACACACAGCATTGCTGAAACAAGAGACTAACACGAGAAAATTATTTAAATTGATTTCAGTTAAACTGCTTAACTGAATCCAGGCTGCCCTTATTAAATCAGCCCTTTCATTAGTACTTGCTCTTCTGCCTCACAGCCATGGGAGGTCAGGACTTGCCCTCAACAATAACCCCCCATCTGTGGTGGTGAAATCGCTGAAGGCATAGGCCAGGGAGCACTTGTGCCATGCTCAGCACAACCTGCCCCAATGACAGCCCTGGAATGGACCAAACCCTTAAAACCAGCTGTAGCTGAGCGGGAACCCGAGGACAGACTCCCTTGTCCTGGCTGCTGCCTCACCCCTCTTCAGCTTGAGCTAATTATCCATGTGTCCCTGCCCCACACTGCATCTTGCCTGCTACCATAACCTCAGCTGTGAAGCAGACAGTCTCCTATGCCACCAAGAACATCACATCAAGCCGTTTATGCCCAGCCTTCAGTGCCAAGTGTACACTCCTAGCAGTGGGGACTTGGGGTTCTTGGGCCTCTGCATTTGGCCATCAGGACATGCCTGTGATTACAGAGTGGCAGCCCTGGCGGGCCTGACCAACTCGACTCCCCATGTAGCATGGACTCGGAGGACAGAGCACTTGCCCAAACAAACCCCTAGGCTTGCTCTCTTTGGGGGCTCTCCCAACAGACACAGCTGACTGACTCATGAGACTAACACATGCAAATTATTTAAACCAATTTCAATCAAACTGCCAGGCTGCCTCTGGACAGCCCTCATCCAGTCAGCCCAGAGTGCCCTCCTTCCTGCCCCTACTCCCATGGCATCAGAGTAGGTTCTTGGTCATGGTATTCACAGCACCTTCTAGAAATTTCTTCACTTTTTTACCAGGAACAGATCAGTTGCTGGGCCAAGGTTTAAGCAGGCAGTTGGTGACAAGTGTCAGATGGGGGTCTGGACTTGACTAGGCACTGCTCAGTGAGGAAATGCTGGGCACTGCAGGCCCCAGTTCAGAGGGATGGAGATGGCCCAGCAAGCTCTTGACTTAAACACCTGGAAGAGTAAAGCATCAATGAGCTCCACAGTTGGCTGCCATTGAACTCCCACTCAGTCCTGTCTACTCCCACACCCAGCCCCCTGGACAGCCACTTCATCAGTCCTTCTAGCACTAGATCTTCAGCTGCCCATGTCCATGTCCAACCAGGCCACAATTACTCCTCCCTCAGGGAAGAACTATTCCCCTGATCGCTGGGATCCTGCCCTGCAACCCTCTGCCCCAGGCCAACCACACCACAGCCCTAGATCCATTCTTACCTGGATTATGTAAAGAGTGATTCCCATCTGGAAACCTGAAAGATGCCATCTCACAGATGCAGAGAAGAGGCATACTGCAAACCTGTGTCTTCAGAGACCATGAACTGCTGTACCCTAACATGGCACAGTTTGAGCTACCACGACTAAACCTGCAGAGGGTAAGGTCAAATCAGGAGATTACTGAATCTTCCCCTGTGTCCCCCAGCCCTGCAAGAAATCTAGTACCAGTCCCAATCAACTCTGCTTGCCTAGCACACAGCTCAGGAATAGACATCTGATGCCAAGTGTAAAGGCTGGAGGGTCAGAGAAGAGCCAGTTACTCAAGGTCTGCAGGACAGAAACAACCCAGTTACCAGGAACACAAGCAAGTGGCCACCTTGTCTCAGGACTCACCCTCTGCTCTAGTTCCTTGGCACTGCTCTAGCGCCCCCAGTGGCCCTGACTGGGACAGCCCAGCTTCAGTTGGGCAGGTGTGTCTAGGGATGGCAAGTTAGAATGCCCAGGTTTCCCATCAGCTGTAAAACTCTGGCTGAAAATCAGCTTCTGCCTCTGAATGAGGCCGCAGACACCAGCCTAGAAATTATTTCATTATTTTTAACAGTGGCAGGGAGTTCTACAGACCTGGGAATAGAATGAAGACTAAGACTCCCCCCGCCCCAACATCATTAAATAGATGAAAACAAATACACAATTGTCATACTAACTAATAAATATTATGGAATCACGACCTAAGGAGGAAGTTGCCTTGATATGCCTTCATGAGAAGATGACACAGAGCTGGAAACACTGAAAACTCCACATACTCACCCACCATATGGCGTGCCGTCACTCCACCACCACCAGCCCTCGTTATAGCTGAGGCCAACCCAAAAGGAAGCGTCCTTGGATAACTGCGACAACAAGCTCTTCCAGGGAGAACTCTGAGAGGAGATTCAGAGAGCACAGGTGGGTGGACAAAGACACATGCCAAGGACAAGGGTCACTGGTGACATACAGGTCAGTGCCTGCCTGTGGTACCTGACCACCTTTGGTTACTGGGTTCTGCACACCTCAAGGCCACATGTCAGCCAGCTAACAGTTCCTGCAATGTGGGTTCGTGAGGTGCAACCACCCACAGTGCTGTGCCATGCCACTGGGTGGAAAGGCTGCTGGCTACTCGGTGCTAAGGATCGTGACTGTTCTTGTCCACCAAGCCATGGGACTGGCATGCACTACCGATCATAATCCGATGCTGCATCTCTATCAAATGCCTCCCCTCCAGGTCACTTACTTCATGATAAAAACGACTCCTAGAAGAATCTTTGAGTGTGGCCATGTTGGATAACAGAGATTTGCAATACTCCTGGCTACTCTGCCAATTTCTCTTGGTGAATGAGACGTGAAAGCATCTTCCCTGGGTGGGTATCCAGCCCAACACACAGCAGACGTCTAGAAAGCAGGAAGAAAGTGATGGCGGGACCACCTGGGATGAAAGCAATGCCCCCACCGTCCGGCTGCTAACCACAACCCCGGGTCCTGGCCATCCCTCTGTGGACTTCTGACCTCTGCAATCCTTCTCAGCTCCTTTCTGTCCCCTCCACCATGGAAAATGTCTATGCATGTGTATGTGTACTCAGTAAAAGGCCTGTGGGGTGGAAGAAGCTGTCACTCTCAGCTGTTCCTTCAATGGAGGTGCAGTTGCGATGCTGTGGGAACAGGGAGGGGCAGTCCTGACGTTGTGACCTCACAGCACAGAGCAGAAGAAGATTCAGGAAATGACAGCTGGAGGTGTCTGTAAACACTCTTCCTGCCCTCTCAGACAGACAGAGCCCAACCCTGGCCACACTCCCAAGCCCTTTCTGCACCAGTCCTAGTGGCCCCTGGCTCTTGCCTAGGACTCCTGCCTCAGCCTGGACTTTCCCATCCATGTGTCCCTTCTCCCACTGCTACTTTCAAAGTGGATAGACCTTGTGGAGCAGAGGGGCTGCTGCACTCAAGTCCTCGAATGCTCCCACTCACCCACTGCTCTGTGAGAGCGTCACGTGGACTTCACCACCTTGCCCCCTACCGGCCTGCACCTAGAGCAGCCAGTAACTCTTCCCCTTCAGGCAGTCTTTACAGGTGCACATTCCCAGTGAAGCTAAGTCCTTTGGAGCTGGGTGAACCAACTTCATGAACAAGTGCAGGGGATTCCAGACTCCAGCAGTTGCTGTCAAGGGGTGAAACCAGTTTGTACTCTGGACTGCTGCCCTTGGAGCTGAAGTGAGTACCACTAGATGCAGTGTGAAACTTCATCCTTCCACCTGTTTACTGCCAAGCACAGGTCTTGTAAGCCCAGCTCTGCTCCCCTGTCCTTTCCCTGCACAACTCCTGAACACTCCCTGACCCCTGCCCATGGTGCCCCCTCATCTGACTACTTAACATTTAACCATGCCCTCCAGCTCCCCGAGTACCAGAGCAGGTACCTTGTGAGGAACAAGTGAAGAAGGGCTTCAGTGTGTCCTGCAGGTGGTTCAGCTTCTGCTGCACAGCCTGCCTCTGTGCCACCTCCATTTGCAGGGACTTTTGCGTCTTCTCTTTTTCGGCTTGGTGGATTTCCAGCTGTACTTGCGTGGCCTGGTGTGCCCTCTGCTCCTCCTCTAGTGTTTTTTGGCTCTGGGTCAGCTGTTCCTTGGAGTTCTGTAGGTCCTTTTCCATCTGCCCCAGCTGGACAGTTCTGAGGTGGAGCTGCTCCTGAAGGCTGCTGTTGGTAGATTCCAGCAGCCTGCCCAGCTGCCCAAACTGCTGAGATGCCTGCTGATCTAGATGGAGGGGACAGGTGAGGGGTATGTGAACACCTGCTGCAGCCATGCCCGGGAGCCCTGACTCTGTGCTGTTGGACACCTAATCAGCTACAGGGCTGAAATATGACCTCTGACCCTGAAAGACTGGTGATGAGGGAAGAACAGACAAGGCTGGGAAGTAGCTCCAAAGCTGAGGTGTGAACAATGTGCCTGTGGGGTCTATTGAACAAGTATTGTTGAAGTTGGGTAGAGTAGGGGATGAGGTGGCTTGGAGTAACTGGGGAGCCAGGGTCAGCCATACTCACATTGCATGCCCAGGCAGATAGCAGCCACCCCCAGCAGCAGGCAGGTGAGGAGCAGGCCGAGCAGGAGGTACTGTGAGCAGCAGGGATGGCCATGACCTTCGCAGAGGGAGGAAGGGAGGAAACTGAGGGTCTGTAGCTGGACTTTTTGGGGGTCCCTGGAGAAAGCATCCCTAGGAGGATCCTACAGAGATGATGGGGTGGGCCATAGCTGGCTGCTTTGAATGCTGGGGCATTTAGAGGCAAAGAGGGCGAATGTTCCAGAATCAAGACTGGGGTTAGGTGTTTGGAGGGATCAATGCCTGGTATCAAGGGGAAATAGCACTCAGGGCAGAGAGGAAACAGGTGGGTGGAACCAGAATGGGGACATCCCGTGGTGCAGTGTGCCTCTGGGGCCCTGGCAGGAAGGCTCTTTTCTGGCCAAGGTACACTCAGGGCCCACGGGGGCTCACCCCACTCGTGACCCTCTCTCTCTCCCACCAGGCTCCTATATGGCCAGTAGCACCTGGCAGTACTCACGGGGGACAGTACTCACAGAGGAGCATTTGCTCAGCAACTGAGGATATGGCACTGCTCCTTGCAGCTGGCTGTTCCATGTGGAACTCTGGGGAAGGGAGCAGAGATGGTTGCAGGCAAAGCCCGGGCAGTGCCCCACAGCCTCCTGCCAGAGACAACCAAGCATGTGGCCCTGTTGTTACTCCCCCTGACCCACCAGAGCCCTGGGATATCCTGACAGGGCTCCTGGTTGCCTCAAGGCTCCTGCCAGCGTATCACAGCTGATCTTCCCTGGGGACTCCATCAGGGTTCTCCCAGGGCCCCCTATATGGTCTCCTCAGTGTAAGCAGAGGTTGATCCCCAATTCTCCTCCCAATTGATTCTTATCCAGTATCTATCTACCCTTTTTTGATCATGAGGTCCCCGTTTCACATTTGAGATCAGCTCCCTGAAGCTGTCCCAACCCCCATTGGGAGTGCACCTGGCTTGTGGATGTTACTGGAACCTGGATACAGCTTTTCTCTCCTTCTACACTCCCTACCATAGAGAAGCATCCTCTGAAAAATACTGTAGACTCCCCTATGCCACACACAGACCCTACCATACACACACACACACACACACACACACACACACACACGTCCTCTGGGCTTACCATACCTGCTTGGTTTTCTGGTCCAGGGAGTAGCATCAGGCCTGTGGGAGCCTCAGGGGCTGAAGGCACCTGCACGTTCTCATAGGTGATATCCCCATCTTCATCAGATTCTGGGAAGGGAGAGGAGAGAAGAGGCCCCATGGCAGTGGGGTTGGAGACTGAGATTCAGGAGGATAACAGGGAGGAAGGGGCCCTTACACTTACCATGCCCTGGGTGGGAGATGTTCTTCCTCAGAGGAGCCTTCACGAACCGCAGGTCTGCATAGGTGATGACCTCTGCCATGGTCCCTGGCAGTGCCTACACCTTCACCTCCCCCTGCTTGCTCACCTAAGCCCCTCTCCTCTGCCACCCTGCTCATTCAAGAGCTTCCTAGTTCCCTCTGTGGCCACACTGCTCAGCACTTGATCCTGTGACTTGAGTCACAAAAGAGGAAGATGGGAGGGCCTGGCCTGGCGTCCTAGTGGCTAACGTCCTTGCCTTGAACACACCAGGATCCCATATGGGTACTAGTTCTAACCCTGGCAGCTCCACTTCCCATCCAGCTCCCTGCTTATGGCCTGGGAAAGCAGTCGAGGACGGCCCAAAGCTTTGGGACCCTGCACCCACGTGGGAGACCTGGAAGAGGTTCCAGGCTTCTGGCTTCGGATCAGCTCATCTCTGGATCAGCTTAGCTCCAGCTGTTGCAGCCACTTGGGGAGTGAATCATTGGACGGAAGATCTTTCTCTCTCTGTTTCCCTCTCTATATATCTGACTTTGCAATAAAAATAAATCTTTACAAAAAAAAAAAAAGAGGAAGATGGGAGTGCATCTCCAACAGATGGGCTCAGTGAAGCAGAAGTGTTGTTGAACCCCAGCCACACAGGATAGGAGGACTCTGGGGCCAGAGCCCAGGGCAGGGGAACCAGGTCTCTAAGACTCACCTCCCAATGCTGCTGTGGCAGTGCTGGACCCAGGGGCTTCACTCCTGACCATCCCTGTGTGTGTGGTCTGTGTGTGTGTGTGTGTGTGTGTGTGTGTGTGTGTGTGTGTGTGTGTGTGTAAGCAGTTTCTACTCTCTGGGTACCAACTGATTCCAGACACTTAACCCTAATTTTGATCCAGGGTAAAGCACATCCACCTCTCCATCCATCTGATGTGAGGGGCCTGGCATAGCACTCCAGCTCCCCAGCATCCTGGGTTTCTAGAAGATGTGAGTTCCATAGGGGATCTTGATCATCTGATTCATCCAATGGGAACTCAACGGTACCCCCCACACACACACCACAACCATCCATTCAGGGACTTTGGGAGCTAACAAGTGAGGATGCCTCAGAGGCATCCAGTCCAAAGCCATTCCTGGGGATTAAAGGTCTTGAGAGGAGGCACATGGACCCGCACTGTTGGGTCAGCACCCCCCATGCTCATGCCTCCTTCCTCTCCTCCTCACAGCTTTTCACTCCGAATGGCCCCTCTGCACTCTGAATGATCACACCTGTGGCCCTCAGCCCCTTCCTCCATCCCATTCTTGCATATCTCTGACAACACCTGGGCACAATGCCCAGGAAGCAGATGCCCAGGGATTACCAAAGGCCATAACCTCCTAGTCAACTGAAGTCAAGAACCCAGAGAAGACCCAAATGCTGAGTGACCAGACACCAAGGCCACTGAGAATTTATTTCCTTAGTCTCACTGCCCAAGAAATACTCTTCCTCTACAAAGTCCCAGCTCTTCCCACACTGTACTTACTCAGCCCTGAGACGAAACAGGCCTTTGTGAGGAAGGAAGGAGTGCCAAGGCCTGAGGTGCCCTTGTGAGTGGTAAGAACCTGACAAAGTGGAGGAGCAGAAGAGACCAAAAAAGGGCAGAAAAAGGCCTGCTGGGCAGCAGTGCCTGAAAGTGTTTCTACAACTTTTGGTTTCTAAGAAGCTGCCTCTCACAGAGGGACTCACCAGGTATTATATCCAGCAATGGCACTAGGAACCAACCCCAATAGGGAGATGGGAAAAACCCATGGCCTTGAGGTTGACACCTTCCTCCCCAAAGCCCCTCCTGAAGGAGGGGAGAAAGTCCACACCACAGGCCAACAGCCCATGTAGCTACTACTGGTGTATGGCGGGCCCTGGGCTAGGCCTTCATAGCTGGCCACATAGAAAGTGGCCACGGTGGCAGAAGGCACACTTGTCAGCTCAGGGCTGGGTGTGGGAAAAGGAAGTGCCTGGATGTGCATGTGCACATGTGTGTCAGGACAGCCTGTTTGGGTGTGTCCATTAGAGGGGAGCATCTGTCAGGACACTCCCAGATGGAGGGTTCTGTGTCTGGGGGCTGCCTGTCATGTCACTGTCACTTTCATCAGGCTGGGACTCACCAGACCATTTTCAGAAAAGCCACCAAAAGGGCATGGCAGCCAGCACTGCGAGTGTTTCCTTGCTCCGGCCCACTCTTTCCTAAGGCATCTCTGCAGCTGTTCACCGGCTCTGCTTGACTAAAGTTTCCAACAGCCCTGCCCTCCTATCACCCCACTACCCACAGGGCCTCCCCCAGATATAGACAGTGTGAGATGTGTGGGTGACTCCCTGGGGACCTCAGAGCCCAAGGAAGCAGGTGGGGGCCCAGTGGGTGGGGACAGAGGACATGTGTGTTTCTGTATGTGAGAGAGACTGTGCATGCATGTGCATATGTGAGAGACTGTGTGTGCATGCGTGTATGTTAGAAACTGTGTGTGTGTGTCTGTGTGGTACACAGCCGTGTTGTGGATATTCATTGCAGGAACCTGGATAGGGAGTCCACAAACTGTAGCTAATGTCCCAGTGTTCACAGTCAGTGCACTAGTGTTCATAATCTGGCTGCCCAGGCAAGCGCCAAAACCAAGCTTCAGGTGTGCATGTGCTCAATACAAGACCAGCTGGGGGAGAAGAGGGCAGGGGTCACAGAGCAGGTTAAGTGGCTGCCTGGGCTGCCTGCATCCCCTACCAGCACAGGGCCCTGTTTGAGTCTCAGCTACTTTGATTCCTTTCCAGATTTTTTATAATGTGCACCATGGGCAAGGACAGATGATGGTACAGGAACCTGAGTCCCTGTTACCCACTTAAGAAAACTGTATTAAAATCCAGGCTCCTGGCTTGGTGATGGACTATTCTCTCCCTCTCTCCATCTTTCTCAACCTTTCTCTTTCTGCCTTTCAAATAAAGTAAAAATATGTAAGTGCACGTGGCCTCACTCTTCTCTCCCAAGGCATCAGCAGGGGTGTCCCCATGGAACTGTGGTAAGCTACAGGCTCACAGGCACCCTCTTGGCTAACAGGCTTGATCCGCATTCTTGTTCCCTTATGTCTTTTGCTGCTGGGCTCCTGTGTCCACTTGCCATTCTGTGTGTCTTGAAGCTATGTGTCTGCTGAACTCCTGAGAATCTGACTGGAGAATCAACGTCAAAGCTGATTCAGCTCTGTCAGGCTGAGGTTGAGACCTGGCCATGGACTGTGAACTGTGGTTGCTTTGAGACCTCGATGTGGGTTCAGGCTCTGTGCTCCTACAAGGTGGGTGTGTGTCCTGAGTCAAGCTTGAACAAGGCAGATCTCTGAGCACATCTGATGGCAGGAAGACTGTCTAGCAACAATAACAGTAACAGTGTTTAACAGTTGATTAAGGAATTGCATTCTAATCCGACCTGGCAAACAATTAGATTGTTAGCCATTCAGACTTGAAGGTTATTAATAATTTCTCTCCAGGAGCCAGCATTGTAGCCTGGCAGGTTAAGCCATCACCACCAATGCCAGCATTCCATCTGGACATTTGTTCAAGTCCCAGTTGCTTCACTTATCCCAGCTTGCTTGTAGTGACCAGTGAAAGAGGCAAAAGGCAGCCCAAGTGTGTGGGATCCTACAGACTGATGTGGGAAGCCTGGAAGAAGCTCCAGGCTTCACTCTGGTCCAGCCTTTGATGTCATGGCCATTTGGAGAGTGAATCGATGAACCGCGTATCCCTCCCCCTCTCTTTCTCTTTCTCCTCCCCTCTCAATTTCTCTCTGTAACTCTGCCTTTCAAATTAATAAACACAAACAAAATAGTATTTTTCTCTAATCTTCCTAACATAAACAAATTCCTCCTTTACTTTTTAAAGATTTTATTATTATTACTATTGAAAGCAAACAGGGGATAGGGATGCAAATTGGAACAGTCACACACAAGAATCAGGTCTAGAATCACCTCAGATGAAATTTCTTTGGGAATTCCCCCAACTTAAGCACTGGACTCAGAACCCCAACCTTGGAGAGAATTGCAGGTTCCATGGTCTGACTGTGGAGTGCATGTGTCAGAGCTGAGCCTCCTCAGTGGCTCAGATGGAGCAGTGGACAGCATATCCAGGTGCACATGGAGGATACAGCACTACATTGGAATCTTCAGAAGAGAATACCTGGTACCACAACAGAGGATGGAGGACAGAACAAATTGATCAACTATCCCAGCCACATTTTGGCAGTGAAAATCTGGGTGAAAGGATAATAAAGTGGACTGTGTCAACTAATGGATTCTGGAGAGATTTCATCATGCTTGGAATTACGAGACTGACAATAATTCAGAACTGTTAAACTATCAAAACCTCTTGAGCTGGACCCTTGTGGCCTGCCCCACATCAGGAACCCTGGGATGGCGTCAGGTGGCTGTCCTCCATCCCAGCATCTCGAGGCAGTTGGGAGGCTGGGTGTGGCTTTCCCCATCTCACTCCTTCCCCCAGATGCAGGGAAGAAAAAAAAAAGAGAGAGAGAATGTGGAAACAATGGTCTCACCCACCTTCCTATAGTCCTTGACCCTTTGCACCTTAATCGACTATGTGAAAATCATCAGGGCCCGGCGCGATGGCGCCTTGCATGCCCGGGATCCCATATGGACGCCGGTTCTAATCCCAGTGGCCCCACTTCCCATCCAGCTCCCTGCTTATGGCCTGGGAAAGCAGTTGAGGACGACCCAAGGCTTTGGGACCCTGTACCAGAATGGGAGACCCAGAAGAGGCTCCTGGCTTCGGACTGGCATAGCATTGGCCATTGCGCTCACTTGGGGAATGAATCATCGGGCGGAAGATCTTCCTCTCTGTCTCTCCTCTCTGTATATCCGCCTTTCCAATAAAAATTTTAAAAAAAGAAATCATCAAAAATAAAGATAATTATCTTTCAAAATGAAAGCAAACAGATTTATGGAGAGAAAGAGAAAGATCTTTCATCCACTGATACACTTCCCAAATGGCCATAGTGGCAACAACTGAACTAATCTGAAGCCAGGGGCCAGAAACACCTTCTGGACCTCCCACAGGGTTCAAGATCCCAAAGCCTTGGGCCATTCTCTGCTGCTTTCCCAGGCCATTAAGCCATTGCGCCATGCCCACCTTATTCCTATTTTTAAAAGCATTGTCAGGATTTATTTTTATTGTTTTGAACTTACTTGTTTTAAAGGCAGTTGTAGGGTGTGTGGGATGGCTCAATGACTAAATCCTCACACTGTAAGCACTGAGAACCCATATGGACAACACTTCTCATTCAG